AATAAATTTTGAATGACGTAAAAATATGTTTTTTTTTGGGGGGGGGGGGGTGTCATAATAGTATGATGTGTATAACATGAAAGGGCTAACATTAAACTTTTGTGCAATATTAATGCAGACTCTAACTCTGTAGCGTTTGCTTGCCTGGAGTTAAAGTATTTGGACTTTGGATTTGGAAGTTTGTATTATGAACTATATGCTGCATTAAGTATTAAAACTGGACACTTAAGCATTTACATGTGTGATTTCTTTGAGTCTAAACATATTAGCTCTCTTGGCTGTTGTCCTTTTATGCCTCTCTTTTAGGTTTCTACTGGACCTGAAAAAACAGATTAACAAATACTCCAGGTATAGAACCTGATACCTGGAAATATGTTGTCCAAAAAAGACAAACTATTTGTGATGGCAACGCCTGTACTACGACTGGATAGTCAGAGCTAGCTCCCTGTTCGTTGGAACTAACTAGCAGAGTTGGTTATAGCAGAAACATTACCCTAAGGCCTCATTCACACAGGAATCGGCCGGCACTTACAGCTCCGTGCTGCATGCACGTCGGTATCGGGCAGCTCCTGGCAAGGACAGGTGCTGCATGTGATTAGTATACAGCCCCTGTCCTTCTCTATAGGATTATGTGGTTGTACGCCAACCTACGCTCACCCGCCAAGGAAACGTCCGTGCGGGTGTCTGTACTCGTATACTGACAGGATGGATCCTGTCTGCGTCTGGACACCCGCACCTGTACGGACCTGCACTTGGGGTGAGCATAGGGCGGCGTACGGCCACGTACTCCCATAGAGAAGGACAGGGGCTGCGTACTAATCACACGCAGCACCTGTCCTTCCTGGGAGTGGCCCGATACAGCCGTGAACGCAGCACGGAGCTTTTCTCGTGTGAGTGAGGCCTTAACATCAGACCGAACCAATCTTAGCGTAAAACAGGAACAGGTAAGTTTACATTATTTTAATAAAATTACAATTTCTGAAAAATAGTCCAAACCAACTGAAGGGAACAAGAGTGTAACAATAAAGGGATTACCACGGTGATTACATCATCAGGTTTTTCAGAGAGGAAGATGTACTTAGCTCCGCAGGGAGCTTATTTTGTGAGGGAATAGGTTCAGACCTATTGGCGCCAGTGTGATATGGCGCATAAAGTGTCCATCCGAGAGTTCCATGCGATTTGTAATAAGTCCTGTTGGTCCGTGATCCAGCCAGTGGGCAAATCGCTAAATAAGCCCGTATGGGAGTTTCATGGAGGAGTTCAAATGTTAGGTCCAGGACAAGATACAGTATTAGCCCCATTGGCAATTTAAAACCTTAATCCAGGCCAGGTTCTATAGACGGTGGGGAGGAGGCTGGCTTTCTGTCGCTTTCAAGTACCCAGGGCAAAGAGGCTTTTGTGACACTAGTAAAAGGCCAAGGTACTACTTAGTACTGTCATTTCCTCCACAGTAGAAGGCTGGACACCTACAGCTGAAATAACACTTTAACAGGAGGTACAGCCTTTATAACGTTGCTATAACTCATGTTTCAAACTCTGTCAAGGCAATAAGCTGTTACTTCCTCTTTCTATTCAAAACATAGCACACATATCATAAAAATTTTAGTGTTTAAAAATAATATTTTCATGCTGTAAGCTGCGTTTTAGATAAGGCGAAAGAAAGGTTTAGGAGATACAAACTGCATGGCTATTGCTGCTTGATGTGATCTCTGGCTGAATAATTAATAAGAAGCTAGCTGATAGTGGAATGATGGTGGCTCACCCTGTAGCCCGCCAGTTCTGTTAGTTGATATTTGGTAGATCAGCAAGATTGGCTTCCTCTGATCATATAACCAAGGAAACTATGGAGCTAGCTAATGGGATTGCACACTGAATATTAAACCATAGGAGAGTGGGATAAAGAGTATCCTTAAAAACAGCTTTTTTTTTTTTTTACAACGAATAGACTCAAAAGGGAAACGATCATATAAAACATGGATGTTACCGTTCTATAAATGTCTTTCTTAAAATGCTAGTTTCATAGGTATTATTTTGACCATCTTGGTTTTGTTTTTTATGTCGCTGACTCAGGACAGGTATACAGACAAGAACTCTGATTTTGCTGATCTGGATGGTTGTTCTGGGTCATTGTCTCAGACAGTAATGAAGCTAGTGGGTTAGAATTTCAGCCAGGCAATTAGATGCACAATAATTATTGCATTGCAGACAGGTTTACTTTAAAGCTTGCCCTAAAAGAGTTTGGAAAGGGCTTGCTCGTTGCCAGCACTGTAGAGTTAAGATTTTTAAAGGCATCATTCCTCAAGTTATACATTGAATGTACCAATGCAAGACACTTGGTAACACATGCACATGACAGGTGGATCCCTACATTCATCCATAATATGGTAACAGTTATATACAGTTGCATAGTTAATGATCCCCAAAACCAATTAAAGCTCAACTGCACATTATATTAACAAATACTATGTATTGCCAAGCAGTAGTTTAAAATAAGAAAAATATAGCTGTCGCTGCAATACTTCCTCCTCTCTGGTGCTGTGCTCGGCAGACTCACCGCTCCCTGCTGCTGCTACTGATGATCTTCAGGGCCTAGCATCATGCTGGTAGTCCAGGTTGTTATAGACCCACCCCTTTGGGGTGCATCATCACATCACCATGGGCTGGAAGTACTGCAGTATGGAACAGCGCTTACACTTTATTATCTGAGCTTCATTCTGTACAGGAATATGGACTGCCCCCTGACAAGAGGCAAAAAGAGAAGGAAGCAGACCCACATGTCATGTGACTGAAGATAAGATTGTTGGAAAAAGGTACGTATACTAAGAAATTAAATTGTAGGGGATGAGGGTGAGCTTTGTGCCCAACCAGGGCCTAGTAGGAATACGGTTGATATTAGGTAGCTTGGGTCATAACGGAAAACTGACAGTCAACAGTATGATAATAAACATCACGATACAAGTTCCTGGAATAATGACAAATATTAAAGCACGCTATATATACAATCTTGGCTGCATGGGTTCTAACGGTAGGCGACCATATCTCCTATTCATAGTAAAAGTGTTTTCCCTGAGCTAAACAACATCCTCAGTAGAAGAATGCATATTCTGGACTGATAAATTCCAGTTTAATCTGTTCCACCATTATGGTGTACTGAAGGTGTGGTATAAAGCCTTTGAGATTAACTTCAACGTGGCATCTTTAGAAGGGACCAACCTTGGACAAAAGCAAGCATATCGCCAAAATGCTACATCAGCCATGTGGAGTTGTTGGCATGATGTGTAGCAACGGTTTTCAAAACCTAAATTACTCTTACACGATAATGAAATGGGGTTTCTATGTTTGGTCACACAGTCTTTAATATGTTATTTTTTTATAAAGTATAAGAACTGACTGTGTTGTTGCACTGCAACCAGTCAGAGTCAAACCTGTGGTGTACAATGCTTTTGGAATCTGAGGGTTTGCATGCAATTGGTTGCAGTTGACAGAAATATTTATTTCTCCTATTTTGTTACTTTTTATAAAACCATTAGTGAGAACAAACTTGGCCTCATCTTGTTTCAGTGAGGCTGATCAAAGCAGACAATGGATAAACTTGTTCTGTTCTAGAAAACAGCAGCATACAGTCCTGAGCACCAGACTGCAGACAGTCAGATACAACCATGGAGCTGAAACTGACAAGACTCGTACTTCTCTGCACACTGACAGCAGGTAATGACACCAATGCATGCTACTATGATACACATATTATGCCTTACCTTTACTAAAACATAGATTTGTATCTGCTAGAATTTCATCTTAGCATTTTTAATAAGAATTCAAATAATTTATTTTTAATGATATTTGTACTTATCTTAAACTAATAGTTTGTAATATTTGTAACATTTAAAAAATAAATGTAACTAGGTTTTGTTTGATATATTATGTATAATTTGGGCTTTACCTTTCTATTCATGGATTAACTATTTTTTAAGATTGGCTAGAAATGGACTGATCGTTCACCAAAGACAATAAGACCGTGAGAGTTGTGCCCATTTCAGAACATTGTTCCACCCACTCGTTCTGGAGCATTTTAATCTCTAAACCCTTTCAGTTGACCTGGAATAAGTATATGTATAAATATATACATACATACATACATACACAGTGTGTGTATATACAGTGGTACCTCGGGTTACGAATGCTTCTGTTTGTGAACAATTCGGTTTGCAAACAGGAAGTTCGGCAAAATTTTCCTTCTGTTCGCGAACTCCGCACCGGGTGACTAACACAGCCACAGCCATCTTCCCTTCTCTGACTGGTCGTGGCTTCCTCTAGTCGAGATCGCAGTGTGATCACAGTTTGATTCGGTTCGCGACCAATTCGGTTCGCGACCAGAATAATCGTGGAACGAATGAAGTTTGTGAACCGAGGTACCACTGTGTGTGTGTGTGTGTGTATATATATATATATACATATATATATACACACTGTATATATATTAAATTAACCAGTTTGTGGGATAAATTATGTCTCAACAATTGCTGTACCTGAAGTTGCATGGAAATTATTTGAGAAATAAAAGAATTACAAAGCAATGGATATATATCTATAGATATATAGATCTACAGATATATATATCTATAGATATATATTATATATAAAAATTAGTATATACATGCAGAAACACAAGCTGACACTCACGTGTTGTAAGCAATTAACCAAGTCCATGTACTTGCATACTAGTGAACTTTAGCACCATATGTAGTATAAGCCTGATAAAGGACTACTGGTGCTCTTTGTACTCATTCATTTTTCAATAAAGAAGCATTGTGGAATATTTTGTTAAGTTTGCCTAAAAGTATTTTTATGTAAATATTACGTGTTCGCCCCTTACATTGTATTAATATACAGGGTTATAGTTACTCACACTAGCTACGTATATGAATACCAGACAGTGCAGCCAGGATCCTTGGTGACAACTGCTGAGACAACCTCAGTTACAGAACAAGCCACATAGCACACTGGGGTATTTGCACTCAAATAAGGAACAGTAAAATTGTCTCCATTTTTCATAAGCAAATCTGGCTGCCACCTAGATCATACAGTATATAATTACATTCCCTAATTACATGTTTTTTCTAAAAATGCTAGTTGCTTGACTGTCAAGTTGATCCCATAACATCAATAATTTGAGTTGCTGGCTTAGATTAAATATCCATCCAGAGAAGTCAGAACTCCTGATATGCATGCTTGATTTATGCAACTAGTATTTTCAGAAGAAGAAGCCAGCAATGGCAGACCCTACATTTTTATCAGCACGGGTCTCACTCTAGATCAGTGGTTCTCAACCTTTCTAAGGCAAGGACCCCTTGGTAACATTTGCCAAGTTGTGGGGACCCCCAACGGAGCACTGAACACTGGACTTAGTAACGCACTGGACTCAGAACTTAGTAATGCTCTGGACTTAGTAACGCACTGGGCTCTAGACTTAGTAACGCATTGGACTCTGGGCTTAGTAACGCACTGGACTCTGGGCTTAGTAACGCACTGGACTCTGGGCTTAGTAACGCACTGGACTCTGGGCTTACTAACGCACTGGAATCTGGGCTTAGTAACGCACTGGACTCTGGGCTTAGTAACGCACTGTGCTCTGGACTTAGTAAACCATTGGACCCAGAACTAAAAACAGAAGCACACTCACAAGAGAGAGAATACACACCCTCCCCAGCCCCTGCTGCCTGCTTGCCCGCTCTGTCTCTTGAGTAGGTGCAGCCTTCTCATCCTGTGCACTGGTAAGACGCCCTGCCTGCTCCAGAGCCTGCACTGTATGAGAGGCGGGAGGACAGCAGCGGCTGTGAATGGAAAAGTGCCACTGTGCACACTCCCTGGCCGTGGCTGCTGCAGCAGCGACATCTGGCGGCATGGCGGGAGAGCCAACACTGCTACACTAGGAGGAGGCTGAGGAGCCTCTCAACGAACGCAGCAGAAGGCATGCGGCGACCCACTCAACAGGGGGTTGCGATCCAAAGGTCGAGAACCGCTGCTCTGGATTTACTTCAAGTAAATCACATTTACATGTACTGTACATCTAAAGAAAAGGTATATTATATCTAATAGCTGAAATTAGTATTATAAGAATAAAATGGTTGCATTTTATTTTTTGTTTAACTCTGCCTTTCTGCTTTAGTGCTGTTGCCAGTTCCTGAAACTGATGCTTCAGAAGCGGTAAGCAGTAATTTTCAGTTACTATGTCATTATTACCAGTTTAGTAAAGGTCCTCAAAGGTGCTTTGTATTTCATGTCATTTCCCCTAGTTTAAAGCTAGACATAGACAGGTAATGTCACCCGATAAAGCAATGACAATGGAGACATCTGCCTGCTGCCTGCAGCATCAGGACCTGTTTCCATTGCTCATGCATTCATTTCAGAAAAAAGAGTGGAGGATCTTTTAATGAGATTTTCTAACAAGATAAAGCAGAATTCCTGGGCACAACATGTTTAATTTGAATATATTTTTCAATAGCCTCAAAGCATATAAATGAATGTTGTGGGCATCAAATGCCATTGCCAACCCAGCTGTTACTTGGTAAATGTAAATGTGATACCATTACTGTATTGCACATAGCCTCTACAGAGAGCAGAGCTGTGGGTGAAACACGTTAAGTATACCAACTATAGGCTGTTTGCAGAAAATCTCACGGGGGCAGATACCAGACAAGTCACCCTGCACAATTACAAAGCGACAGTGACCTTTTTTTTCTACAGAAAATACCTGCACAGAGGTAAAGTGCATGAGTTGGAAGAAATACACAAGATTCAAGAAAGAATACACGTCTCTTTATTTAGACAATGTTTGTGTAGTCCATAGTACAAATATAAAGTATATTTCCACTTTCACAGTCAAATTGAGATAACACCTATTTTATATTTGTATCATATTCCCATTCACTTATCATAAGCTAAAAATATATTTCAAAAATGTTTTTTGCAATTTAAATTGCTTTTACTTGGGTTAGGGTTTCTTGGTTTCTTAAGGGTTAAAATTCCTACTCGCTTTTTCTTCTTTGTAATGTTAGGAGGGGTTATGAGGGGTGAGACGTTTGTTCATTATAATTTATAAGGTATATTCGAGCAATGCCTGACCTAACAAAGGGCTGAACGATTACAACCCTGGCTTCTCTATTGCATTGTAATGAAGTTAACCACTTCAAGACCAGGTGTTTAGACCCCCTTTCTGGCCAGGCCATTTTTCAGTATTCAGCGCTGCAGTACTTTGACTGACATTTATTCCGTCATGCAACGCTGTACTGAAATTAATTTTACACAATTTTTTGGGGACAGATAGAGCTTTCTTTTGGTGGTACCACTGCGGTTTTTATTTTTTACTATAATTAGGAAAAATTACAGAAAATTTGGAATTTTTTTTTTACATTATGGTAGGAAACATTTATTATTACCCAGTTTTTTGGTAAAATATAAAAGATCGGGTCACGTTGGGTAAATAGACACCAAACATGTCAAGCTTTAAAATTGCGTGAGTTTACTATGGCCGGCCCGGAGGTAGTTAATGAGAGAAATCCAATCCTCAGATTACACTTCAGTCATCCTATAAGGACTAGGGATGCACCGATGCCGATACTAGTATCGATATCGGTGCCAATTCCGAGTATTTGGGCAAGTACTCGTACTCGCCCAAATGCTCCGATGCCTAGCACGAGTACTTCCGGTATCAGGAAGCCGGGCAGTGGGTAATGACGCGCTGCCTGGCTTCCTGATTTGGTCGGGAAGCTGGCCAATCAGGAAGCCGGGCAGTGGGTAATGACGCGCTGCCTGGCTTCCTGATTTGGTCGGGAAGCTGGCCAATCAGGAAGCCGGGCAGTGGGTAATGACGCGCTGCCTGGCTTCCTGATTTGGTCGGGAAGCTGGCCAATCAGGAAGCTGGCCTTGTGAGGTAAGGTTACCTTACCTTAGTATGTGCAGCCTGTCACCCCCGAGAGCATGAAGGCCGCATTCTCGCTGGAGAGGCCCCGATGGTGACAGGCTGCACATACTAAGGTAAGAGGGAACTTTCTTGTTAATCGGGAAGCCGGGTGGCGACTCTTTACACGCTGCCCGGCTCCCCGGCTAATCAGGAAGCCAGGTGGCAAGTCATTACACGCCACCTGGCTTCCTGAATAGGACTTCCGTTACTCGGTAATTGGTATCGGCGAGTACCGAAAAAAATGTATCGCTACTCGGTACCAAAATACCGGTATCGGTGCATCCGTAATAAGGACAGATCAATGTTAAGGTGCTCAGAAAAACCTGGAATAAGCCATGTTGGCACACCATACACGCGATCCGCCGGCTCTACAGCCGGCGGATCTCTTGTATGGTAACAGGCATCGCTGCCTGTTTTTAAATATCGGACATTTCCCGCTCGCGCATGCTCAGAAAAAACTGGAATCAGCCATGTTGGCTGCTGCAACAAAACATCTATAAGGTAAGAAATAAAAAAACCATGTGTGAATAGATACAGATAACAAACATATAATGGGGTTTTCTGAAATTTGACTGCAAAAATGAAAATACACTTTAATTGAAAGGCTTATGAAGAACCACATAATTTACCAAACAATACTAGATTATTGGCAGTCTCGTGATAATATCTTGGGCATATATTCACTTTATGAGGATGGTTTGTGCATGTGCTCTAATACATGGCCAATAGCTGATGAGGTTAGTTCTTTGTTTTGTTTGGTGAGATACTCATGCCCAGACTATATAGTTTCTTTTTGCACTTATTGAATGTCATATATCTAGCTCTGCAAAGGTTCAGAAAGAGTGTGTCAGTTACAATATAAAAAGGTCTTTCACTAATGTTATCCTGTATCCTCTGGATTTTACTTGATCCAGGATTCTGATTTCCTTTGTACAGACAGAGTACACCTCATTCCCACACTGTGCTTGCCTATTCTCTGAACTCTGCACCTATTATGATGCAGCTACCTGAGAGTGCAAGCTGCTTTCACATCTATTAAGTTGCAAGCGTACAGTACATCCACTTTGTAGTCCCAGTAGGGTTACCATTCTTCTGCTAAGGGCATCACAATGCAGCTTTATGATGTGAAACAAGAATTTAGCAGTGATTACAACATTTTGTTTTTACAAAAAAGAAAAAGTCAAACTGAAAGACCAGCATCTAAGGCCTGATTTACAAAAGAGGTACATATTACACTTGTTACAGATATCCTTTGTTTAGTTTACACTCACAGATATATTCAAGGGAAACACTATTTCTCTTCATTAGGGCCAGTTCACACCAAGCGTGTTCCAGGAGCAGAGCAGTTACAGACCGGATCAAAACTGCGTCCAATGTATTCCAATGGTATTTTGGGCTCTAGTTCACACCATAGCGTTCAGTTCCAGAGCATGTAAAAAAAACGAAAGCAAGCCCTATTTTACCTGCTCTGGAACGCATGCAAATGCATCAAAAACGCATGCAAACACACTGGAACGCACTGAAAGCCCATTTTAAACTGTTAAAAAAAGATGTTTTTTGTTTTTTTTTACAAAAACGACCCTGAACGCGTCAAAAACGTCGTAAAACACACTGAACTGCGTGTGCAGAAACTCATGCAGATCTGGTCTGCATTTAGTGTGAACAAGGCCTCATTGGAGGACACATTGGCCGCCAGCACCATGGAAACACATGACACTAATAGAGGTCAGATAGCATCTAGGGCCACCCCCAGCTTTCAGAGGATGGAAGGAACTCTGTATCTGCACTTTCCACCCTCTGCCATGAAAGGGCAAACTCTGATGTGAAAGGAGGGGACTGATGTGAAGCAGGGACTCTGATGTGTAGGGGGGACTCTGGTGCCCCCTCTCCTCTGTGCTTTGAGGAGTCTGAAGAGGTGTCTTCCCAAGCAGTGGGTACAGTCTCAGCACAGCCTTTTTATCGTTTTTTGCACCCATGTTATAATCCACATTTTGGGCCTGAAAATTACTTCAAACCCGCAAACATTATATAATTTTCTGAAAGCCAAGACCCTGTAGAATAAAATGTCGGCAGTTGAAAATTTTTATGTTGCACGATATTAGCGCAACTTATTATCAAACTCAAAAATGTAGTGATAAATACACTTAAATGCCCTTAAAGGAGAACTATGAGGTGAGTACTTTTCACTCACCTCATAGTTCTAGCCGACCTGTGACAATGAGACTGTCACAGGTCGGCTCAGTAGATCGGGAGGTGAGCAAACACATACCGGGTTCGCTCACCTCTCGATCCTGTCACGGCTCTCTGCCGTGACAGGGGGAGGGGCTCGATTCCCCTCTCCCCGCTCATGCCCAGCAATGACAGCTATGGGCCCGGAAGTGATGTAATTTGCATCACTCCCGGTCCCATAGTGCAGGGAGAAGATCGGTGAGCAGACGTTCGTCGCTCTCCTCCCTAGCTTTCCAACGACACCCAAGATGCCAGTCCAGGGCCCGTAGGAGGGGCAGCGGATTTCAGAAAACACGCCGGGGGTGGCAGTTTACCGGCCCGTAGAAGAGATCTGGAGACAGCTGAGTTGCCAGAATCACTTCTATTGTAAAGCAGGCCGTCGGCTTTACATATGTAAACAGAGTCTGCAGTCAACCGGGAGTCTGTTTAACCCCTTCGTGACTGACGACGTACAGTGTACGTCGCCAGCACCAGGGCTGTTTAAACAGACTCCCGGTGACTTTTGCCGCCGGGACTCTGTTTAAACATGTGCTTCCCGGGCTTCCCGGGCTCCGTTGCCCCTCCTACGGGCCCGGGACCGGCGATCTTGGTGTCCGCGGGGAGCTGGGGAGGAGGTCGACGAACTTCCGTTCATCGATCCCCTCCCCGTTCTATGGGACCGGGAGCGATGCAGATTGCATCACTTCCGGTCCCTGGGCTGTCAGTTCTGGGCTCCTGCAGCCCAGCTATAAGCTATTGAAGTGCGATCTGCACTTCAATAGCTTATTTCCAGTGTAAAGGTGACACTGAGGGTCTTTTGGACCCCCAGCATCACCTTAAAGAGGACCTGTCACCACCATCTGCTATTACATGGGGGGGCTTGCAAGCCCCCCCATGTGATAGCAGTCAAAGTAAAGTAAAAAAAAAAAAAAAAACAGTTTTTAAAATTAAAATGAAATAAAATAAATCTAATAATAATAAAAAAAAAAATTTAAAAGTCCCCCGCGAGCACGCGCGTCGCCACGTAAACACGCGT